GGGGGGGGGGGGGGGGGGGGAGAGAGAAAGAGAGAGATGAAAAATGTAAAGGAACGGAAATACTAAATTATTTGTGTACAACAACTTTTTATGCTTTGCAGATTCCATCAATTCTGGATATGCACAATCAGGCGCAGTTAATCCTGGCTGTGGGTGAGTATGCAAATCATGGAGCTAAGAATCTATGGACGAAGCGTTAAATGAACTTGTAAGCAAGGAGGTTATAAAATTTGCGGTAAGGGGAGTGAGAATGTTTTCCTTTTTTATTTGATTATCGTCTCTTTTTACAAGTGGACACATCGGCTTCAGCCGATTGGTCACAAATTTAACCGGTAATATTCGAGGTTTACGTGGGATACAGTTTATACACAGCGTAACAATTTCTTAAAGACGCTGAAAAAATTGCATTTTCAGTTTTTGACAATTGAACGTCGTTTTATTGAGTTTTAATTCGAAAATAAAGAATATACAATATATCTAGTCTTTCGGGAATCATCGGGTACGCGGCGGAGACACCTGACGGTGTCTTATTGTAAAGAGAGACAATATTACACCTCTTACCGCGGATTTCCCACCCAATCTGTCTTGTGCTCCGTTCATAGATTCTTAGATTGATGTTTCAAATAAGCGTAATATGTAATCAGTGTTGTCGGAAGGAAATAAATTTCAGTATCAGAAAATTGAGCACCAAAAAATATACTAGATTCCGTTAAAATGTACGAAATATTTGCATTCTGTTCATGTATATGAGTGGCATTTATTTATAGTATGTATAACATATACTATAGATAAATACGCGGATATGCGTGAAACGCACCTTTACATTTGCTAATTTTATTTGCATTCTATTGCATTTCTACACTATTTACAAAACTATAATCATTTTTAATACGTTCATTCGAGATTAATGGCATTTTTAATTTGCAGACTCGACTTGGGTAGAGTTTTATGTCGTTTTCGATATGTTGACTCGACTCGGGCAGCGTTCCAATAATCTTTGTAATATTACAATCTATAATTTAAGTTACATATACTATAGTTTGCAATACTGCAGCAATTATCGGAACGCTACCCGAGTCGGATCAAGCCAGCAAATCGAAAATGCCACTAGATAAATAGAGAAACGATATTGAGGGAAATCATCTGATTGGCTAGTTAAATCATGTGTTTCAGTGCCATACTATTCCTATCTACGGGTAAATTATCGTCACAATTTGTCAAATAACTTTTCTGCCAATTTCCGGTATTTACCTTAGATGATTTTAGATTCATCTAGATGAAGATAAGATAAAAATCTGAAAATGCATTTTAGATGAGATGAAGATGATTTTGCTTTTGATTTATCTAGATGAGAGATAAGTAGCGCTACATATTTAGATAATTTTTTAGATATTGTTTTCATGAGAGACTTTATAAAAATTTATAATAAAAATTAACAGATCATAAAATTGTACAACGGTTAAGTAATTCGTTAATCGCTCTAAATTTAAAGATTTAACAAAAAAAGATCAATAATCATTAATTGTTCATTCACAGTCGACAATTTGATTCGGACTTAAAGTGAATTGATCAATTGAAACAAAGGGTCTGTTTTTTTTTAATAGCACTACTGAATTGGTGCAATAAGTTAGATTGAGAATATATTTTGTCAATTATATTTTCGTCTTGCTCTAACTTATTGCGTTTCAGCAGTAGTTCAGCAGTATAGCTAAAAAGAACAAACCACGTTGTTATATGCGGAGAAATAAGATGGTGGCTTTCGATACATTACACCTATCGATCGCACCTTGTCGCTTCTCTATTTATTTAAAGCTCTAGACTCGAGCAACGTTCCACTAATTACTACATTATGCTAACTATAGTATATGTAACTTAAATTATAGATTGCAATGTACTGCAAAGATTATTGGGATATTTGGAACGCTGCCAGAGTCGAATCAAGTCGACAAATAAAAGACGCTATAATATGCGAAAGTATGGAAGATTATGTCACATGCGGAAATGAGCAATATAAATAGAATAATATATATATATATAAAATATAAACAGAACAATCGACAATCTAGTATTATTCTAGTTACCTTACTCGTTGCATGTGAAATAGGAGGATTAATGGCTTCTGCCTATAGGACGCGGCATCGCTTGCCGCGCGGCGGGAATTCGTGCAGTGCCTAATAAACTTCTAATTCTCACCAAAAACCGCATGTTGATTGGCCGCCGCACGAATTTTCGTTGTGCGATAAGCGTTGCTGCATTCTATGGGCAGAAGCCATTAGTAATCACCTAAAGTCTGGAATGAGGGCTCTATAATGAGAATTTAAACTCTGAGCCTTAAGAAATTGACCAATCACAATAGATTATTCTTCTATAATTCGATTGTGATTGATCAATTTCTTAAGGCTTAGGGCTTAGGTCATCTTCTTCATTCATGCTATATCGTATATAAAGGGTGAGTCAGTTAAAGTGTGACAAATGTATATATCAGAAACAAAGCATTTTACAGAACAATGTTTCATATAAAAGTTGTTTAATTTCGAGGGATGCATAAAACGGTATCATTGGTTTTACCTTTGATAGTCCTTTGAAGGTCACATGAATGTCACCTTCAATTTCTTAAATAGAAGCTCTTACTTTTTATTGCACATTTTTGTAGCTTATCTCGAGAGCTTTTCAAAACACTATAAAAAATATTATTACACGAAGAACATTTCAAGTTATACGACTAGTTGTGGTAGGTAGTAGTCAATTGTAACGTGATCAATTGAGATCTTTCCGTAGGATCCAGCACAAAAACAAACACTATAGATTTACACAATTATATAGAAATGATCCCAAGCAGCACGTAAACGTTCGAGGAACGTTCGCTTTACGTTCACTTGGCTTGGTAAGTTTAATTTAAAAAATATATTAATTGCTGAAAGATAATACTATATTTTTTAAATAATTTGTTATAAATAGACGTAATCAAACTTCAAGATGTATATATTTTAATTAAAAAATGGAATTGTAACAGAGCAGCATAATTATGATACTGCGACATTTTTGCTACGTAAGATATATATTAAAAGTTCTAAAACGTATATTTTTCGAACGCTCCCACTTTGTTTGAAGATAACCAAACCAAGTGAACGTAAAGCGAACATTCCTCGAAAGTTTACCTGCTGCTTGGGAATTTGAATATTTGCTAAGACGTTAAGCTTATTTTAGCTAGCTTAACTGATTCTTAATATTAGGTACATTCCACGTAGCGTCCGCAACGATATTAGATTATTCTTGTTTCTGTATAACATCCAATAAGGATAGAACAATGCTTAGCATCGGTGCAAGTGCTAAGCGGAACATACTCATTGGAAGATGAAAGGATTATGGGTAAGATCCATTTAGCGTTACAGCAACCATAAATCTTATACTCTAGCGTGAATTTGTGAACATTTTCTAATATAAAAGTATACAGGAACGTTTACTTTTCACAAATATACGCTAGGAGAAAAGATTTATTATTAACCATTTGATGAAGCAATTAATACCAAATATATCAACTCTATTCTATTAATACCAATTTTATGCATTATATTACCAATATATTAAATGTATTATATTTGGTACAAATGTACCATATCTGGCAATACTATGTAATTCACTTTGACATTTTGTGGATGAGTGCGTTATGCGGGAGCATATTTCTCAAACGCAGTTTTAGTTTTGGTATTATATACGTCGTACGATTTATAGTAAGTAAATGTAGTTTGTTGGATAGATTTGGGCGATATAATATCGATACATAACGAGATAGGATTTTCCCCCAGAAAAATAAAGTTTTTTTCCACAAATTTTGGGGGAAAGCCCTATTTTTCTAGGAAAAATCCTTATTTCCTTATGTATCGATATTGTATCGCCCAACTCTATTGTCGGATATGCCAACTGGTGATTAGATGGAAAATTTCTAGAAAAAAAGTTTAGAGAAATTTTAAATTCTTTATGTAACAGCCAATTGACACATCCGGCCACATCCGACAATGTTTGTCGTACGACGTATGTGCATTACCAGCCTTAGGCTGTCTTGTCGAGTGTGCCGATTGACTTCAGGATAGAAAATTTCTAAGATATGTAGAAAAAATGTTAAGGGTAGTAGAAATTCTCTATCCGACAGCCAATCTGCACGTCCGACAATATCGTATACATGTAACATTAGCCTTTGGCTAAATTTGTTTTGCACACTTTCGTGCTGAAAGCGTTGTAAACGTTGTAAAGCTATATACAATGGAAATCATAAACAACCGAATCGAAAATATCAGAAGCAATAGGTTTCGAGTGGGCTCCATTAGCTCACATAAGTGATTGGCTAATTTAATATAAAATGTTCTAATGGTTTCTGGTGATCCAGCGGAAAGATTTTAGGCATCAACTGTTGTGAGTGGATGTGTGCTATTGCACCCTGCGCTAACGAGACATTCCCTAAATTTCCAACCTACTGGAAACTGTATATACTGTGCATATGCTTACTGTAAGCTAACCCACGTATCAATGTATCGATTTCCGATAAATTTCCGATAGGTTGGAAATTTATTGCCTGTGTTATTCCTTGTTTCTGTTATCTGTAGTTTTCATTGTGCATAAGCCTTTACATGCTGATGGAGGTAGAACGATGCTTTCAATATAAAAGCGTGTAAAACGAGTCTTTATATTTAAAGGGCATTCTACAATGTATCGCAAACGTAGCGTCGCCAGTCGCGAAGGATGGGAACTACGAGTATAAAGTGTTATTTTGGGTTGCAATAAGATGTTTCGATCTCCAATTTTTATCGCTAATGATTTCTGCTCACAGGACACGTAAATGTTTGCCGCGCGGCAAGAAGTGACGCGGCAGCCAATAAACTTTTAGTTTTCAAGGAAAGACGGCAAGTTGATTGGCTATCGCGCGGCAAGCGTTGCCACGTCTTGTGAGCAGAAGCCATAAGGAGTTAAAAGTTGGACAACTCTCCTCTAGCAACTGCGATTGTCTGTTGCAATCGAAAATATATTTTGTAACTAATAGTTGCCATCCTTCGTCACTGGCGATAGAGCATTGTAGAATGTCCTTAACTATCATTAAACTTCACAATACAAAAACTCAAGGACTATATTCTGTAAGTACCGATCTACAGTAGGTGTAG